TTCTCAGTCGTACACAATTGTAATTCTCCTCTCCGTTTTTTCACAGTCTTCATAATTCGTTCTGAGCTTATAATTTTTCAAGTCATAATATATTATTCTACTGTGTTTATTATTTTTCTAAGTCTTTGTAAATTTAAAGTGTTCTAAGTCTTTGTAAATTTAAAGTGTTCTAAATTTTTCTAAGTCTATAAATTTTCGTGTTTATTATTTTTAAAAACATGGCTAGTTCAATCGCTGACAACGCTACCTTATACAACGAGAAGAAGGCTTTTACATATGTGCCACCATCACCTCCGGCTGAACTCATCGAGTCTACATCCTACACGATAGACTTTACAGYTAGAAAATTTATAATTGCCGGTATCGATCCAACAGATCAACTTCAAACAGTTGTTATTTTATTAACATCGTCACGTTATGTGAAAATTAGTATARATTTTCTAAGACGGATATTCTCGCTTATGGGTAACGTACTATCTTTTATATTAGACACTCCACAAAACTATAAGCGAACCACATTTCTCGAAACCGATGCTTATAAAATATCGAGTATGGTGTATAACGGTTCAAACKTTCTGGTAATTGAATCCAAGACTGAARACGGGTGTAGAGTTTTATTAAGTCGTTCAGATTTAATAAAACTCCRGGAATTAGAATGGTGTATTACTGCTAGTATTAAAGAAAAAGAAGAAAAAATAAAACCCGAAATTATTAAGCAAATTAGTGATTATTGCGAGTATTTGAGGGAGAAATGCTTGCAATCGGATTCACCGCCCAACAATTTGAGGGAAATGGAAATTTTCATTCGGAACGTTGAAGTCAGACAGAATATGACTGCACCTCACCTCAGCCAAATTAAAATGTTTGCGACTGCTCATTTAGCCAAACTTTGCATGGAAACCGGAGCACACTAAATCCTATAGTAATAATTGAATTATATAATTATTTCGTATATATAATAAATATTAAATAACATTTATTTTTATTTTAGTTGTATAAGGATTTCCAYGGACTGTCAWCTCTATCACCTAGCTATTCAGTAGTAATGAAAGGAATGGATAGATTGGWAGAAGAAATGAATGCAGAGGATGAAATCAATCCGTTGGAGAATGACAATAATTTAGTTAAGGTAATACATAAATGTTATATTATATACAATCATATATATTTAAACACAAACTTTTTTCAGTGCGGGTATTCACCGATATCRYCAAATTATTMTCCAGACAAAGAAATATCAAGTATACAGAAAAATTATGATATATCTACTCTAGCTAAGGTAATTTATAAAATATTTGTCTTCATATAAAAATAATATTGTTTCTATTAACAATGATATAATACGCCGCCTTCATCTCATATAATATATTATATTTATATAAATTATTATTTTGTTTAGCCTATCGATGAGAACAATGGATCTATCAGTCTACC